GGAGAGAGAGAGAGAGGAAAAAAGAAGCACATATCATTGGTATGTACTGTCACATAAATTTTCTATTCCGAAAATTTACTCCCAAATTTAATACGCTCCACTCTTTCCATTATTTCTATCAATATTTCAATAATTAATCAGTTACGTGCGTATTCGCTTCCTTCTTCGTTTCTCGGAAGCAATCAGTTATCAGTTATCAGTAACGAAGAAGGAAAAGTCATCACAGGACCAGTCTTCCAGATACATTACAAGCAGGAAGGTGGTATGTTAGCCTTGCTCTGGCATTCTGGCTTAAGATACATCCTTCCTTATTTGGGGATAAAATTCCAATCTTAATTTCCTTTTTTTTTTTTTTATTTTCTTGAGAAAGAAATATCAAATTAACAATGAAATGATATCCCGTAGTAACTTAAGATTGTTTGCTTCTAATTTGGGAAGGAATAAACAGTGTTCCATTGCAATCTGACTTTCTCTACAATGATTCACTTCTGGATTGTCACACATTTCCACGGCATTATGTCGCATTTGCACCATATTTTTAATAATATCCATGCAATTTACAGTACACTAATTTATCGAATTTTTTACAGCTAACAATTATCACAAACTAACAAATGATTAAAATTTTGCTCGAAATATCCCTGAAAGATGAAATTTAACCGCACGCTATTAGGAAATTTTGAAATTAAAATATTTAAATAATTTACGAAAAAAAATTTTTTTTTTTTTACAGGCAATATTCAAGGAAACCAAGCGGCCATCACGGGAAATGCAATTAACAATATCACAACAACTACAGTTGGATCCCACAACAGTTGCGAATTTTTTCATGAATGCCCGTCGTCGTGGTCATGATCGTAGTAGGCAAGAGGAAGAGCAACAAGAACAACAAGACCAACAACAACAACAACAGCAACAACAACAACAGCAACAACAACAACAACCACAACAACAGCAATTACAACAATCACAAGGACGACAGCAAGAGCAACAGCAACAACCAGAGCAACAACAAGAAGTGGTACTTAATTCGAATACAAGTAGTGAAACAATTCTCGGTCCCATACCACCTCCACCTGTTTTTGAACAGTTATGAAAACAAACAATTAGGTACAGATTTCATTATTCAATTAATGATTATGAATTTTTAAATTTTACAACTGAATGCATGTATTTCCACTTTGTCGAAACATTTTATCGCCGTATCTTCCAATGGTTTAACAATTCTTTTTTTTTTTTCTTTTTTTTTTTTGAGTTTACGTTGTATTAAATTATCTGTAAATCATTGAAAATGATTAAAAGTAATTTGCAACTTTTTGGTAAAAATGTTCAATACTATACTTTAGTAATTCAACGTTATTTTGAATAAATATCGAATATTTCGGAAAAAAAATCAATAATCTACTAAGGAATGATCGAATACTCTTGAAAATGCTCCTTTCTCCCTTTTGATGAAATTCCTATTGCTAATTGCATAATTGCTTTATCTCAAGTTAATTAACTACAGATTACCTTTCCCAATGCTTTAATGAATCTTTTTTTCGGTAAATAGTTTCGTAAAATTGTGGAAAAAATTTTGAATTACAGCTAAAATTAACACGCTTATTAGTTTATCAAATTTGTAAATATTTTGTGGTGTAATAATTGCACTTTATTTCATTTTTCCTCTTGACTTCAAAAAAATAATTATTAAATTTTTAAATTAAATAACATTTCTTCGAAAAAAGTTTAGAAAAATGGTAGGAAATTCTAGGAATTCTAGGAATTCTTATTGGCATAAGCCGGTCTTTCTGCTAATTTTAACATTTGAATGCAACTTAATGCAAATTTTATCACTGAATTATGATAATGATAAGAAGAACCATTTTTGAGCTTCTTCTGAAATTTTAACCATTATTCTCCTCCTATTTTTTGTCTTTCTCTCACTCTAGTCATTCCATTTTCGTGATGTTAATTATAGTCATCAGAACAATTTTTATATTAATAGTAATAATAGCAATAACAATGATAAAATAATAATAATAACAATAATTAATAATAATGATAATAATAATAATAATGATAATAATA